TGGGGGGGGCAGTGTGGGGTAGGGCAGGACAGAGAGAGGACCTCAGGACCAGCCGGAGTTCCAGGGCTAAGCTGAAGGACTTTAGCTCAGGGAGACAAAACAAGGAACTGGTCCTTCGGGCTAAGAAACAAGCCAGGGGCTTGGTCCGTGGATAAGAAGGGTTCAGTGTGCATAAGGTAGAAGTAAGCAAGGCAGCAGCTTCAGAAGGATATAGCCAGAAGATGCATGTATCTGCCTGCCTGGGGTTTCATTCATCTGGCATAGGGCAGCAGAGGGGTCGGTGAAATGGGGAAGGGACAGGGGCAGGGAAGGAGGGAGAAAAAGGGGGATTGCAAGGAGGGGAAGAGGGAAAGAGGGAGGGAGGGAAAGAGAGCAGGAAAGGGGGAGGGGAGAGGAGAAAAAAAGGAGGGGGGGAGAGGGGGAGAGAGAAATGGACTCTGGCTATAAAGACGTGAGCCTGGCAGGTCACACTACTATCTCTTGGAATACTTAGCTACTTTTATAGATTCCTGATTTCATTGTGGTGAATATTCCCTCTACCCTACACCTTCTGTACCAGCTCTTCACAGCCAATCTCGACCTATCTTTCCCACCTCACTGGATATTTCTCCCCATTCTGTACTCCATGACCTGGTCACACTGGCCTTTTGTCCCTCACTCATGACACTCCATTTCCTCCACACCTTTGCACTGGCCTTCCCACATGCCTGGAACCCATTGCTTACCTCTACCTCTCAGAGTCCTTCTCTTCTTCATGAAGCCTCTCCCAACAGCAAGTGACCTCCCTCCCCAACTCCCTTGTATTTAACTACTTGGTAGGTATGTGTAGATTTATACACACATATACGTGTATATGTATATAGAGATGTGTGTGTGCATGTGTGTGTGTGTGCATATATATTATATATATGTGCATATATATATATATGCATATATATTATATATATGTGCATATATATATATATATATATATATATATATTATGTAAAGAGATAGATATAAAAACCCTAAGTCCCCCAAGCTCAATAGTATGGGACTCTCTCCTCATTGGTAGAGATCAATGCCCTGTGCCTGCATACAAGGTGCGGCAGAGATGGCCGGAAAGGACAGAGGAGCATTCAGTCCCTTTAGTCTCTTCACTTCTTTTTTTTTGGTGAGGCAATCAGGGTTAAGTGACTTGCCCAGGGTCACACAGCTAGTAAGTGTCAAGTATCTGAGGTCACATTTGAACTCAGGTCCTCCTGACTGTGAGGCCAGAGCTCTATCCACTGCGCCACTGAACTGCCCCTGTCTCTTCACTTTCTTAAAGTCTCTTCAGGCTCGGCAGTTATTTCAGGCGCTTCCAGTTCCAGGATTCCAAGAGGGAAGATGAATGATTCCAACCCCACTTCAGATTGCTGAAGGGAGAAAGGGAGTCTGGGAAGATGCCAGCATGACGGGAGCTAACAGTCTCCATTGTGATCCTGTCTCCAGCTCGCTACACTAGAAACTTCAGGGACTTTCCCCTTTGGGTGAGCTTTGGGACACTCTCTCTTGGTCGAGCTGAGTTGCCTTGCTCTTAGTAGGGCACTCCTGCACTCTGTATTGTCTAGTATATATTCTCCCATGTGTACTTTCTTTGATTTCTGTTTTGCTATTGACTTGATAAATGGATTGCTACTTCCTATGTGTGTTCATAGTGTAACTAGTATTTGGTGTGGGAAGGGTCGGGTCCTCCTTTCCCCATTAATGAACAGGTATTGGAAGCTTGGCTCCACGGATGAGAAACCTGCGGCCTCCAGGCCACATGTAGCCTTCTAGGTCCTCAAGTGCAGCCTTTGACTGAATCCAAACTTCACAGAACAAATCCCCTTCATAAAAGGATTTGTTCTGTAAAATTTGGACTCTGTCAAAAGGCCACACCCCAGGGCCTAAAGGGGCCACATGTAGCCTTGAGGGCGCAGATTCCCCACCCCTGCCCTAGATTAATAATATTTAAGGGATCAGACAGATGTAGTTCTAGATTGGTACACCCTCCCTCTGAGGAGAAAAACGACCAAGCTTCTATCTCCAACCTCCTGCTTCCCCTCCTGGCAGGAAATAGAGTCTCCCTTGGAGAAGGGTTGGAGGAGAAGAGTCTAGAAATGTTTATTCGACCCGCCTTTGAGCCGCATGACTCCTACGTGCTACATGTGGGGGACAGCCTTCACTTCACATACACAAACATAAACACACAATGTGTATGTACATGTATGTGTACATGTATACACTATATATATAATATGTACATGTGTGTTATATATAATGTATGCATATCCACATCTCTATATATACACACATATGTGTGTGTATATACATATATATTCATATGTGTGTATATCTATCTATCTGTGACTTAAATGTGTGACCACACACACACATACACACGTATACAGGGTGTCCCAAAGGAAACTATTAAGCCTTAAAACTGCACTAGTACTTTTGGGACACAGTATATATACACGTATTTACTAACTCGATAGTTATGCTGTCTGTATTTTTATATGTACTTATTAGAATGTAAGTTCATTGTCATTCTTTGTAATTTTCTCCTTTGCACCCAGCACAGTGCCTGGCATACAGTGGGTGCTTAATAAATGTTTGTTGATTGATTGCATGATTCTCATCTTTTGCAATTTGTTTTTCTGTAGTCTCCCTAAAATATCTAGTCAATGTGAGAGACAGTTTGGTTTAGTAGCTGGAGACTTAAAAGAACAAGGCTCCAGTCCTCATATACTTATTAGCAGTAGGACCCTAGGAAAGTCACAATTCTGGGCTGCCATTTCCTCATCTGTAGAATAGAGGGGTTAGACTCAATGATGCCAATATTTCCTGCTAGCTGTATGTCTGGGATGAGCTTATGCATGAGCTAGAGATCTTCTGGGCTTTTTAAAAACACAAATGTTTTGTTAGAAACTGAACAATATCTGTGAACATGCTGTTTCCCTCTAGTCGAATGTAAGCTCCTAAGAACCTGGAGAACCTTGTATACAGTAACAGCCACGTTATATACATGCACGTTGTACAATGACTGACTTTGATAGACTTAACTCTTCTCAGCAATGCAAGAATCTAAGACATCTCCAAAAGTCTCATGATGGAAAATGCTATCCACATCCAGAGAAAGAACTATGGAGTTTGAATGCAGATCAAAGCATGCTATTTGCTCTTTTTTTCTTCTGTTTTGTTTTGTTTCTTCTTTCTTGTGGTTCCTCCTATTGGTTCTAATTCTTCTTTACAGCGATTAATGTGAAAATATGTTTAATAGGAATGTATACGTAGAGCCTATATCATATTGCACACCATCTTGGAAGGGAGACAGGGAAGGAGGGGGAGAAAAATTTAAAACTCAAAAGCTTACGGAAGTGAATGTTGAAAACTAAAATAAATAAATAAACTTTAAAAAAAAGAATGTAAGCTCCTTGAGGGCAGGGGCTGTCTCACTCTCATCTTTGTGCCGTACATACCTAGCTCAGAGCATGGCCCATGGTAGGCACTTAGTACATGCTTTTTGATTAGTTGGATATAAATAACTGTATTTGCTTAATACAATTTACATTTAAATTAGTTGACTTAATGCATAATGAATTGATTGTAACGCTTTTTTGGTTTCTCACTCTGAAATCCCCATTAGGATTCTTCTTCCCTTCATTCTTTTCCAGCTTTCCTTGTGTGTCTTAAGTCATCATGTGTTCTGTTCTGCTTTTTTTTCTATTTCAGAAAGTTCTTTCCAGATTTCTTTTCATTTCTCATACTTTTCCATTTTAATTGTTTTCTTAGTATTCCATCGCAACAATGGACCATGATTTATTTAACTCTTCTATTGTCGGAAATTTGGACTGTTTCTAGTTCTTATTTTCCTTACAATCACAGTACCATAGATTTAGAGCTAGAAAGACCATTAGAGGCTATTTAAGCTAACCCTTACCATACCCTCATTTTACAGATCATGAAACTGAGCCCCAGAGAGTTTAAGTGATTTGCCCGGGGTCACGCAGCTAGTAAGTGTCTGAGGCAGGATTTGAACCTAGGTCTTTATGGCTTCAACTTTAGCCCCCTGTCCACTGCACCAGAGGTGTCAGACACAGAGCTGGTGGGCTGCATGCGACTCACAGCACTCTGGGGAGCAGCCCAAACCAGATTAAAATGTAGTTCCTAGCTGATTTTACTGTGTCAATATATTAATGTAAAAAAAGAACTGTATAAACATGTGTGGTTTCCTAAGTCGATGTGCAGGCACCAGGGATCCCTACCTATAGTTGGGCAGCCCCCCGTTTCTGTTGGAGTTAGACACCTTGACACTACATTGTACCTAGTGCTGTAGGTGCACTGATACAGTGGTCCATTCATCTGTCACCCTCCTCCTTACTACGTGACCAGCCCATCTACCTCTCTGGTCAGTTACGCCCTTGACATACATTGTATTTCTCCTCTTACACCTCCTTATGGTTTGGAGGCAACCTTGAGCTCTTGAAATCTATGCCATCAGAGCACACACTGGCCAGGTCCTGTTTTGTCTGTTTAGTCGTTTTCAATCATGTCTGACTCTTCATGGCTTCTTCTGGGGTTTTCTTGGCAATGATGCTGGAGTGCCATTTCCTTCTCCAGTTCATTTTATATATGAAGAACTGAGGCAAACAGGGTTAAATGACTTTCCCAGGGTCACACAGCTAGTAAGTGTCTGAGGATAGATCTGAACTCAGGTCTTCCTGACTCCAAGCCCGGTGTTCTACCCATTGTGCCACCTAGCCACCCCTAAGGGAAGGGGACTATCACATTGGAAAGGGTATGGACTCAGAGACTGACTGTGAAACAACCTAGATAAGTGTGAAAAGCTCAACACTAAGAAACTGGGATGTAGGTGAGGGCTTTTATATCAATCCACTCTCAGCCAATCAACCAGTCATTCAATAAGCATTTATTAAGCTCCTACTGTGTGCCTGTATCTGTGTGAGGCACTGAGGGTACAAAGACAAAAATTAAAAAGTCCCTGCCCTCAAGGAGCTTACATTCTATTGGGGAGACTGCATGTACATATGTAAGTATCGAGAGGTGGTATGGCACAACTAACAAGCTGCAGGATTTGGGTTCGAATTCTACCACAAAGACTTATTACCTTTGTGACTCTGGTCTAGTCACCTCATTTCTCTGACCCTCAAATTTCCTTATGTGTAAAATGAGGGGACTGGACTGAATGACCTGAATCCCTGATCCCATGATCTATGATAGACATGTTTGTACAAGCAGGCATGCAGTCCTTTGTGGTCCCCGTCTGTTTCCAAAGTAGTGACAGAAAAAGGGGACCAAAAATCTCACGAGTCTAGGAAGAAGAAAGTAACTCAGAATAACCTCTGTTTTTGGTGGCCCCAACCAAAGCCAGGTTAGAATCCAAACTGATGATTGATATCCTGCTCTGTGACACCCTACATCAGCTGGGAGGGAGAGAGGCGCTGGGGAGGCATCTACAAAGCACCTGCTACGTGCCAGACCCTTTGCTAAGTGCTTCACAAAAGCTCGGTTGGCTGCTGTCCTTCACTCTGGAAGACGACCTAAAGGACACATCACTACGTCAGAGTCAAGGTACAGTGTGTCCAACTGTAGCTGATCGGATCCATACAAACTTGGAAGTCTCTACCTCAGGCTGGGCACAGGTAGTCCATATGAACAGATGTTATCTCAAATAAAATATCAAATAAAAATCTTCACAAATATTATCTCATTTAATGCTCGGTGTTCTGAAAATGAGATGTCAAGCAAAGAACCCCAGCCTGGAGACCTGGGTTCTAATCCTGACTCCAATATTGCTTTCCTGGGTGACCTCTTATTTCCCCTCTCTTGGTCTCAGCTATGAAATGAAAACATTGAACTTCAGGTCCCTTCTGACATACTGAATCAATATTGACATTTAGATTAAAAACAAGGAGCCTTCATTCAGTGGGGTTTTGCAGGGGTAGGTGGGGGCAGGCAGGGAATTTGTTCAGAGAGCCCTGTGGTCGATGCTTTTTCTACAAAAGATAAAGGCTTTTGGGAGGTGAAGGACAGGACAGAAAAGTGGGGGGATCAGAAGATGAAGTTCCCAGGCAGGTCGGGTAAGATATACCTATTCTCTAATGTATCTGGAGCTGGGAGCCTGTTAGAGATTTGAGGAGACTCCCTGAGGATTTCCAAGGGCACTCAGTCCCCAGCAGCTGGCAGCTCTCCCCAGAGGAAGTCCAGAGCCCAGCCCACCATATGATGTGAGGCTTCAGTTAGATATTGGCAACAGAGCCAGTCCTCGAGTCCAGCTGCCTCCCCACTGCCTGCCAGCCGCTCGGCCAACTCCAGCGGCAGCAGGGCCCGGTGGATGTCCAGCCAGGGCCCCAGGGGGAGGCCTTGGGCCTGGAGCTTAGGCCCAGGCCCCCACAGCATGGTCTGCAGGGCCACTCGGACCTGGGCCACGGAGGGACGGCTGTCTGGCTCAGCCTGCAGCAAGTGTGGGGCCAAGCGGGCCAGAGCCAATGAGTAGGCTGAGCGGATTGGCAGAGGTGGTGGGGATGCCCCCCGGGCCTGGGCCAGCACAGGGCCTTGGCCCAGCATTTCATAGACAAGGAGGCCCAGCTGAAGTTCATCTTCCCGTGCAGGCAGCTGCGGCACTAGGGGCCGGGTCCTGGCAAAGTTTGTGAGAAGCAGCTGGGGCAGGGTCCCTGTCGGCTGGCCCCGGGGTGCCACCAAGAGCAGGTTCTCAGGCCGCAGGTCCCCATGGCCCAGACTGTCCACATGCAGCTGTTTCAGGGCCCCACACAACTGGAGCAGCAGTAGGCAAACCTGGCGCTCATACTGTCCTGCACAGGTCCGATGTAGCTCCTTGTTGGCGCCAACCCAATCCGCCACAGTCTGAGTGGGCACCTCGGCCACGAGAGCCACTGGCCCTTGCCACGGAGCCTCTGGCAGTGTCCCTGCTGGCAGCTGGCCACAGAGGCTCTGCACATTAAAATGAGGCTTGAGTGTGGCCTGGAGGGCCAACCCAGGAGGCTCAGTGTCCAGGGGCTCACAGGCCATTGACCAGGGCTTGTGGACCTGAGGGAACGAAGGAACGTTGGGGTCAGGGTCAGAAGTCAAAATTCACATCTTCTTCCCCTTTCTCCTGGTGGCTGCTCCAGGTTGCATATACTGTCATGCCTTAGCCCATTAAGCAGAAGACATTGGGGAACAGTAAGGATTAGGCAAAAGTTGTCCTCTTTGGTGCCCCTTTTCCCTGTCTGGTCACACTCTCATCTTGGGTACCCTCTTACGATTTTCTTTCCTAATGACTCATAATTGTGCTCCAAGGATTCTCCCTCACATGTCCCATGATTCTTTTGTTATGTACCCCCCCCGCCCCCAAGCCTACATCTTCCTATATGTGGCCTACAATTGTCCCTCTTTATGGCCTGATTTTATCCCACCTTGGAGTCTAGGATTCTTTCCCACTGTGTCCTATCTCCCCACCATCCTCCACCACCCTGTCTGCCCTGTAGTCAAAGATTCTTCCTAACGCTGCCCAAAAGGGATCTCCTACCCAGGCCTAGGGTCTCCACCCTTCCTCTCTATGTAACTTGGCATTTCCAGTTGAACCTCCCATGGAAGGGCAATGCCCCCAAGGCACTCACCTTGGCAGCCAGGAGGTGCCAGGTGTCTTCGGTGATTCGAACCACCCTATAGTACCAGGCATCCCCACTCTCCGCACAAGGCTTACTATCCAGCAGGCGGAAGACCTGGCCCGGACCACCCCTGCCAGGCCATGGCCCGGCCAGCCGGGCTCCGAGCCGTTTCTCTATGCAGCGCAGGGAATCCAACTGGCGGCCTCTGAGCACCTTGTATACCTCCTGAGCGCTATCCAAATCCTGAAAGAAGTGACCTAGCTCCCAGTCAGGGGTAGCAAAGGTCAGTCGGTGAGGTTCTGGGCCAGAGCGGCTCACCCTACCATATGGGATCTCTTCCAGGCTCTGAGACTCCAGCAAGGGTCTCCTCAGTTTCTCCCAGGAGGTTTGGCCTGGATTGGATTGATATTCTCTCTTGGGAAGGGAACTGCAGCCAGAGGAGTAGTGAAGAGTGTTGCTAGTAGGAAGAGAACGGGTTCGGCTGAGGGTCTTCTGAGGCAAGGGAGGGGGCGATAGGTCAGTAGAGGACAGTCTTGATGTCTGTGAGCGGCAGGGTTTAGAGGGCAGTAAGTGGGCCCGTCTCTCTCCTGCAGTAGGATGTAGGGAGTCAAGGTCATGTTTGGGGAGGGAAAGGGGCCACGGTCCACTTTCCTGCTAGGATAAGCCCTGGGGTTAGGAGTCAGGAGAGCTGGGTTCTAGTCTCACCTCTGGCATTGAGTGACCTTGGGACATAGAAGTCATATAACTTCTCTGGATTTCAGGGACCTCATTGAGAAGACAAAGAGATTGGCTTGGGTTCAGTGGAGTGTTGGACTTGGTGACAAAAGACCTGAATTTGAATCTGAGCTCTGCCTGGGTGACCTTGGGCAAGTCACATACCTTGTTGGGACTTAAATTCCTCATTTGTAAAATGAAGGGGGGTTAAACTAAATAACTTCTAGATTGATGGTCCTGTGATTCAAGGATGTCTGAGGTCCCTTCTGGCTCTGACATTTTTCATTCTGTGACCTGGGTAAGTCTTCTTGCATACAATCTCTGAATGTCAGAGCCGGTGAGATCCTTAGAATAAACAATCTCAAAAGAGAGCTTAGAACCCAGAATGTCAGAGTTGGAAGAGACCTTAGAATAGGGAAGGTCAGAGCTAGGTGGGCCCTTAGAACATAGAATGTCAGAGTTGGAAGAGACCTTAGAGCACAGAATGTCAAAGCTGGGAGGGCCTTTAGAACCTAGAATGTCAGAGCTGGAAGGGCCCTCAGAACTCAAAATATCAGAACAGTGAGAGTCCTTAGAACAAAGAATGTCAGAGCTGGGAGGGTCCTTAGAACACAGAATGTTAAAGCTAGGAGAGATCTTAGAATATGCAATGTCAAAGCTGGGGGAAACCTCAGAATCATCTAGTACAACCGTCTCATTTTATAATTGAGGAAACTAATTCCCAGAGAAATCATCCTAGGAATTTTCCGGGTCTGGCCTGGGGGACTATCCCTCTCTAGCTTTTGCTGTGCTCGTCTTTTTCCGCCATCACCCCAACCCCTCACCCCAGCCTGTGGCTGACTGGTGTGGGTCTCCAAGACCCAGGCTCACTCACCAAGGTTGCTATAAGGGTAATGCAGAGATGGGGAGGGGAGATCTTGATGGGGTGTGGTAGATACTGGGTCTGAATCACCCATGCTTCTGGTGGCAAAAGGCTTCCTGTAAGAGAGGAAATGAGTGTGTTTACATGCACATAGACTTTAAATGGATAGCATCATGAAACCCAAGTTTTGAAGAGGACTCAGAGGTCATCTGTGAATCAACCTTCCTGGGCTTCTGGTTCCTCATCTGCAAAATAAGAGGGTAGGAATAGATAACCTTCTATGGTCCCTCCCAGCTCTACATGTATGATTTTATGAACCTTGAGGTTCTATGATTCTTGTGTGTATTCTCTGTGTGTGATAAGCACTTGTATATGTGGGTTTGTATAAGTGTATCTTAACCTACTTTCAGGTATGCATATATGTGGGCATGGTATGTGAGTGTATGTATAAAAACATAGAATCATCTCATTTTTTGAATTGGAAAGGACCTTAGAGGTCATTCAGTCCATCTAGAAGAATTAATACAGTCTATAGCGTCCTGCCTCTGCTTTGATACTTCTAATAACAAGGAGCTCACTATCTTATGAATCACCACAATGTGTGTGTGTGTGTGTGTGTGTATGTGTGTGTGTGTGTGTATACTGCCCGACTCTGGCAGAGACTGAATAGCACCTAGTCCAGACTGAGCTGTGAGCCATGTCAATCGCCCTATGTCCATCACCAGCCAGAATCATTTTCCTTCTCTAGACAACAAGCAAGAGGGATGAGGTACTGAAGACAGGGTCCAGGAGTTGAAGTATGGAAGATTCAGAAAACCTGGGTTCAATCCTGATTGTGCTACTAACTGTGACTTCAGCAAGCACTTGTATTCTCCAGGCTTCAGTCTCCTCACTCATAAAATGAGGTGGATAGGCTAGATTTCTAAGCCTCTTCCGATTCTATCTCCCATGAACTCCTCTAGGGAAGATGCTGCCCACTCTCCCAGTTTAAGGGTGCCTTTCTCCCCAGCCTGCCAGTTTGGTTGTGGCAGCCCAGTCCCCTGCTCTGAGGCACTGCCGCCTCCTTCTGCTCGCCTCGCTTGGTGGCCAAGATTATCTGTCCTCAACTCCTGACTTTGCGTCTCCCCCACCCATCTCTGCTGGGCTTACCTGCCAAGCCTGAGCCAAGGCCTTCCCGGGATGTGCTGCTGTGGCTGGGCCCTGAGGGTCGCCCAGCACGGGTGGTCCTCAGTCAGTGGGAGCCACAGTCTCCAGGGAGATTTCAGGCTTGGCCTCCGCCCCTGGAGAAGAGGAAGCAACAGAAACAGTTACGCCACAGGCCAGGCCTATTGCGCAATTTTGGGGGCCCTCCTCTCTCCAATCAAACTCTGGCTGACCAGCTACACCCAGCACTGAAAGGACAGCACCAGAGCCCTCGTGAAAGAGACAGCCTCCTTCTTTACTCCTTATCAGAGGAGGGTCTGAATAGGCAGCTAGCTGATATAGTGGATGGAGTATTGGGCCTGGAGTCAGGAAGACCTGAGTTCAAATCTGGATTCAGATACTTAGTAGCTGTGTGACCCTGGGCAAGTCACTTAACCTTGTTTACCTCAGTTTCCTCATCTGCAAAATGGGGATAATAATAGTACCTATTTCTGATAGTTGTCATGACCATTAAATAAGATAATATTTGTAATAAAGTGTTTTGCATGGTGCCTGGAATGTGGTAGGGGCTTAATAAATGTGTGTTTCCTTCCTTATTTCCTGTTGGGCAAGGAAGGAGTTTTTAGGTTGTGTGTGGATTTTACATGCACTTGTGTTCCCATGAGCATTTGCTTTTGACATGTGTGGGCAAATGTCCTGATCTGGAAAGGAATGAAAAGAGACGTATTCAGTGCTTACTGTGTGCATAGCCCTGGGGGTACAAAAACAAAAAATAAGTCCCTGCTCTCAAGGAGCTTACATTGTAATAAGAGGAGACAATATAGGGGAGGGGTCTCCAGAGATCAGAATTTTGGTTTGGAAAATTGTAGGGATGTTGAATGGAAATAGGGTGGAATATACTGAAACATTCTTTCCAGTGGGATTACCCATCATGCAGTGAGATGGTATGAGGTGACTGGGGTAAACCAAAAATTTCATTCTCCCTCTTTGATAGTTGGGCTCTAAAATGCTTGAGAGGATCAAGACCTCCCTTCCCTTAATTAGAGAGGTAACATGGTATAAAGTGCTGGATGTGGAGTCAGGAAGACCTGAGTTCAAATCCTACCTCAGACTAGCTGTGTAACCCTGGGTAAGTCAATAAACTTCTCTGGGCCCTGCTTTCTTCATCTGTAAAATGAGGAAATTGGATCCGGTGAACTCTAAGCTTCCTTCCAGCTCTCTATATCTGATCCTACAGTTGAGAATACAGTCTGTGGGTATGCCTTTGGAAATGCCAGGCGTCTAAGAGGAGGTGGAAGAGGTATGACGTTAGACCTTACCTGGGGGTGGAGTGGGTGGGATGTCACCACCTGCGACTCAAAGCTGACCATTTAGTCCCCATGGGAATGAGCAGTCCTTCTGGGTCATAAAGGCAAGAGCCAAGGGAATCACATACTAGGAGTAATTATTGGAAGTTTTCAGAATCCATGACCAAGATGCAACAAAACCAAACCTGGGCTCTGAGCCACCAGGACCCCAGGAAAGTCTGTTTATGGATGTGTGCTTCTTAAAAAATTTAATATTGTCCCCCAATTATGTATAAAAACATATGGACATGTTCTAATGAGTGAGTTGAGACCACTGAAGCCTAAAGCGCCAATTGGTGGTCTGCCCAAATATAGCACTCTGGGTAGACGCCTTCAGCTCTGTCCCCTAACACTCTTAATAGACACTGGGTCCTACCTGGGTCAAAGGGTGATATGAATGTTTCATTACTCAGGCAGCTGTATAAAGGGTAGATTGGGGAGAGGAGAGATTAGAAGCAAGGAGACCTATTTAGAGGTGAAGAAAAGGGAAAAAGCATTTATTAAGCACCAACTGTGAGGGAGGAGGGGAGCAAGATTTAGGGGGAAGAATGATGGCTTCCATCTTGGAAGTATGGAGCATCCAGATGAAGATGCCCCATAGGTGGTTGAATTCAGGTAAGAGCTTAGGGTTGGAAATACAACAGGAAATCATTGGCATAGAAATGAAGAGTTGAGCCCTTGGGAGTGGACGCACTCAGCAAACAAGAGCGAAGGGAAAGAAAAAAAAAAAGAAGAAGACTCAGGGAAGAATTCTGGAGGACACCCAGGTTCAGGGGGTGAGGGATGGATGATGAACTAGAAAAGAATGTGGAGGTGGAGAAGGCAGAAAGATAGAAGAACCAGAAGAGATGAGTATCACAAATGCCTAGGACAGCATCCAAAAGGGTGATCAGTAATGTCAAATCTGTAGAAAGGCAGAGAACTGATGGAAAGTGGGAAAGCATTAAGGCATTAGTGTAATCTTGATCACTGTTGGGTGGCGGAATTACAGCCTAAAAGAAAAGGGCTGAGATGTGAGAACACAGGTGTAAACAACTTTCTAGGCTTTGGGGTGTGAAAGGGAAGAGAGAGTCAGGAGAGCAGCTCGAGGGGATGGTAGAGTCACAAAGGAGGCTTTTGTTGTTTCTGAAGAACACAGTGGGCAACAGGGCACCTGAACATGTTTGTACGTGGAAAGAAAAGAGACAGTTGTTAAGGAAAGCCTGAAGAGCTCTGAGAAGACGCGATTGTAGATTTTGAGCTGGATTTTTAAATTCTCTTCCAACCTCCTAATTTTACAGATGAGAAAGCCGAGACTCATGAAGGTTAACCGTCTAGCTTACAGTCACACAGCTAATAAGTGATCTTAAGCAAAATCTGAACCCAGGTCTTCCTGAGTTTAAACCCAACGTTCTATCCATTACACCAGGCTGCCCAAAGGAGGATGGGATTGAAGGCACAAGTGGAGGGGTCAGCCCTGTTAAAGAAAAGTCACTCCATCCTCTGAGACTGAAGCAAAAAATAAGAGAATTACCAAAGATGGAGAGATTTTGGAGGTGGGGAAGTTTCTCGATAAGGTAGAAGGTGAGGTTAGCTGAAAGAGAGAAAGTTGAGGATGGTAGTGTTGGTGGGCATGAGGAGAGGGCTTGAAACAGCTGTTATCATAAAAAGTCAATTAGAGAGGACCAAAAAGATTGTCTTGCTGCACAGATGACAATTGAGATAGGAGATGGTGATAATTGAGGGGGATTTTCAGAATTCAGGATCATGGGATCCAAACAGACTTGGGTGATGGCGAAGTCTAAGATAGGAACATTCCCACGGGTGGTTGAGATAGAGTGGAGATTTTAGGTCACAGGAGCTGAGAGGGTGGCCATGGAATGAATGTCATGATATGCTATGAATAATGTCATGAATGAGTGAATTACATGACATGAACAAGTGTCACCAAAGAGCTTTGGAGTGAACAAGACTACAAACCAAGCATGCAATAAGGCAATGGTCCTCAGTGTGCTATGGTCCGTGGGGACTCAAAGAGTTGGACATGACTGAATGGCTGAGCAACAGCAACCACAGCCTGAACAGGTGTTTGTTTTTCTAATCTTTGCACTGGAAAGAATAAATAAATATGGTTGATAAGAAGATGGTACCCAATATGAGTAAAGAGAGAGAAAGAGAGGGTCTCAGCAGTGCAGCAGGTAGAGCACCGGCCTGCAGTCTTCTCCTGGGCTCATCTTCCTGAATCCAAATCCAGGCTCAGACACTTTCCAGCTGTGTGACCCTGGGCATGTCACTTAACTTGTTTGCCTCAGTTTCCTCATATATAAAATGAGCTGGAGAAGGAGAAGGCAAACCACTCCAGTATCTTTGCCAAGAAAACCCCAAATGGAGTCATGGAGAACCAGACACATGACTGAAAAATGACTGAACAGAACAAAGAGAGTATCTGACTACCTTTATGAGTTCCAGTCACTTGACCCAAGCAGCATCCTTGGGTCCTGGAAAAAATCAGAACAACTGTTAGATGTACAGTAAGTGCTTAATAAATGCTCAGTTGACTGCCTCACTGGAGAGATGGAGAGATGTAGACTAGATGATAGTACAATTCAACAGTTTAAGAACTGATTGACTAGGCTGATTCACACAGGATAATCACTGAGGGATGGAAGTCACTTTGGAAGGCAGCCCCTGGCAGTGCATCTCAGGGATCTAGGCTTGAGCCTCGCTGTTGAACTAATCGTTACTAATGACTCGGGTAAAGGCCTGAGACGGCGTCTTCTCCATGCTCCTCAAGGCTATAGGTGACACAAAGGTTACACAGTGGAGAAGAGAGGATTAAAAAAAGATCTTGACAAGCTAGATTCTAGGGGTGGGGGGCCAAACTTCAGCAAAGTTTAGATTCAGTCAAAGGGCCACCCTTGAGGACCTAGAGGGCCACCTGTGCAATGAAGTTAATAAGAGGAGATTTAATAGGTACAAGTGTCAGGTCTTACCCTTGGGTTCAAAAACTGAGTTTTGAGGGGCAGCTAGGTGGCACAGCCGATAGAGCATCAGCCCTGAAGTCAGGAGGACCTGAGTTCAAATCCAGCCTCAGACCAAACACTTGACACTTACTAGCTGTGTGACTCTAGGCAAGTCACTTAACCCCAATTGCCTAAAAAACAAAAAAAACTGAGTTTTGCAAATACAAAATAGGGGAGCTGTGGCCAGGCATTGGTTTGCCTGAAAGAAGTAGAGGGGTTTTAGTGAACATAACCCTGTTTTAGTGAAGTGTGATATGGTAGCCAAGAAAGCCTAGGCAATCTTAGGCTACGTGGAGAGGCATGGTATCCAAGATCAGAGGCAGAGTGGTGTTGCTATGGACTGTCAACCAGACGGAGCTGGCCTCTAGCCTGTGGATGGCCAGAGCTGAACAGAGCAGGCTAGAGACAGGAGAGTCAGGAATCAAACAGAAGTTTAATTTCAAAGTGAGGGAAATGGCTTGCAAGCAAGGAGGAAGATAAGACACATGTGCCAGGGTTCCACCACTACTGGGGGACCCACTTTACAGTAGGCAGATCTCAATACTTATACCTATGGCTTTGCAGTGAGCTGTAGCCCTGACAATGAGGGGTGACAGCAACCATGTGAAACGTTTGATTCATAGCAGAACTTGTCTGAGCTCATACAACACCTGGTGCTGGTCAAACCAATACAGCAATTATGTGATTTTGCCAAAGGGTAAGATCATCCAGAGGGTGAGCGCAAAGGATTGTTGTTATGCCAAGCTCAGAGCATATCTTGCTTGCTGGGTCTTAGCTCTAGAAAACAGGGTGTC